CCCTACCTCCTTCCCTCCCTCCCTCCTCCTCCCTCCCTCCCTCCTCCTCCCTCCCTCCCTCCTCCTCCCTCCCTCCCTCCTCCTCCCTCCCTCCCTCCCTCCCTCCCTCCCTCCTCCTCCCTCCCTCCCTCCTCCTCCCTTCCTCCCTCCCTCTCTCCCTCCCTCCCTCCAGCTCCCTCCTGCCTGCCCACCTCCCAACGCAATCCCCCCCCTTCTTTGTTGCTTTTCCCCTTCAGTTTTCCCTCCACTGGGCCACGTGATGAAGACCCTGGTCAGGAGGACGAGGCAACCGGCGCAGCGGCTCCTCATGCTGGGGCTCGCAGCATGTGTGACCCTTGGCCTCCTGTGCAGCTTTTCTTGTGCGCACAAGGATGGAGAGAAGCAAGATAAGTGCGAGGGGAGCCATGGCAGCAGCGCCGGTGCTCCTCGCATCCATGGCGCGTTCCCGAAGTCGAAGGCGAAGACGGTTCACTTTGTCAGGCATGCAGAAGGGTTTCACAACGTTGCAGCGAAGAAGTAAGAAGAGGAGGAGACGAAGATGGAAGAGGAGGGGGAAGGGGAGGAGCAGGGTGAGAGGGCGAGGGCGAGGGCAAGGGCGAGTGAGAGAAGTTGGAGATGGAGATGGAGATGGAGATGGAGATGGAGATGGAGATGGAGATGGAGATGGAGATGGAGATAGAGGAGATGGAGATAGAGGAGGAGCAAACAGTGATGGAGATCATGGAGATGATGAGGGGTCAACCTATCTGTCTTTGTGTGCATGGGGACCACAGCATGCGTGCATGTGGTGCATCCTCAGCATCCGTTTCTCTCCTCGCGATGCTGATCTCATTCTTGTCTGCCGTCCTCCAGGCATGTCCGAGGAAGCCGAGAGTACGAGGCCGCCCTCGATGACCCTTCCTTCTTCGACGCTAAACTCTCCCCGCATGGCGAGGAACAATGCGTGCGTGCTTTTAGATACGCTGTCGCGAAATGACACTCATGCTGTTACAGAGGAACCTGAGGAGCACCAGCGACCATGTCGACTACTCCCTCGTTCTCGTCTCTCCTCTCACCCGGACGCTGCAAACGTACACTCTTGGATTCAGGGAGCGCAAAGACGTTCCTGTCATCGCGCTGGAGCATGTGAGGGAGAGATTTGGTGAGACGAGACGAGGGTCGAACGCTCCCTTCCTTCTCGTCCTCACGTGCAAACCCAGGAAAGCATCCTTGTGACAGCCGTCGCTCAGTCCAGGAGCTCCGGCAAGACTTTCCCCAGGTCAGCTCTTGTTCCCTCTCCCCCTCCTCCCCAGCACGATCTGAGAAACTGGAACGGCAGGTGAACTTCACGTTCATAGCAGCTGGGCCAGACCCGCACCTCTGCACACCTGAGAGCTGTCCTCCTCGAGAGTCGGACGCTGAGATCGACGTGCGGGTCCAACAGTTCCTAGACTTTGTGGCGTCGAGGCCAGAGAAGGAAATTCTTGTGGTCAGCCATTCCTCCTTCCTCGCAAGAATGTTCCAGGTGATGCTCAGCTGTGATCTCTTGATGATGCTGATGCTTTCATTGCTCTTGCTCGACGATGTTCAGGAGCATTTCAAGTGGGAGGAGCGAGAAGGGAAAGCAAGGTTTGAGAACGCGGAACTTCGTAGCGTCGTCATCCCTTTCCGATGACAGGGTTTGTTTGTGGAAAGTGTATTGTTTTTATCTTTTGTTGGCGATGAAGAGTTTAGCGCAAAGTATTTCTATCAGCCATCATACAGTTTGCAAGTGTTTCATCTGTCTAAACACGGGCCTGTCGTGACTAAAGCCTCCAAATCGAACTAAGTTGTGGTTGCCCCGTGCAAGAGCATTTCATAGCATACACACTTCGATCAGGGTCGAGCTGACATACAAGGCATCCTTGCCATCACTGTGAAGAAATCAGATGGCGATGCATCGGCGGACAAAAAGCAAATACGACGCATCTCAAAGCACGGGCAGTAGAAATGTTTTCAGGTTCGGAGGTGGGGGGGGGAGTCGTAAAGATTTTTCAAGTAAAAGAGTGAGCGGTTTCACATCATTGTGACTAGAGATGATGATCAAAGTAGTCCGTACCAAACAGGTTCGGTTATGTAATACAATCATCAATTTCGACTAGCCGCGTTCGCTGTTTCGATATCTGATGTCTCTCGGCTACGTGGAGGAGTCTAGGTGCTATTCCGAATGTCTTTTCATCTCGCTGCAGTCATCATTCACACCCACTACCCCCCCCGGATAATATCAGCTTGAGGCAACCCACACACATTTCACCCTCAGCTGCCAGGGTAACAGCGCAGACGCTGGAGCATCATGGATTAGCTAACCTTCCAATTTTCCCCAGTGACGAAGAAGTTGAAGTCAGCTCGCGCCTTCCAAAAGAGCCTCAGGAGATTGCTTCAATACACAACGTGACGATTGCTACCAGCGCACTGAGCTTGGTTCTACTCAATCATCTCATACAAGTACATCATGGCTTTTTCCTGCTCATAAACGACATTCTTTTCGTCTCCCCGACAGCCTGTTGTTTCGGGCAAACTTCCGGAGATGATCCTCCTGTAAATTTCAAATTTCTCAACCTTTTTTAAATCATGGTTCTTGTGCTGTACCCCATCCATTTTCGCTTCGAGACAGGGTGGGGTGATTGACCCTACCCCAGTAGAACCAACCAAATCCTCCTTCAGCATGTACGTATGGCCACCACCACCCCCCCTGAGTGCAAGTGAAAAAGACTAGCTTGGACCCCTTCCCAATCGGATCACCCCCACCCCAACTCCTCAAACCCCTACTTTGGTTTGTTCTTGACTACCCCTTCAATATTCAAATAGCTTTGAACCCCATTCCCCCACCCTCCAGACGGATACTACCCCCTACCCCTTTCCTTGCTGCACTACCTGGTGATATAGGCTTATTGTTTAGTCAAATGTACCGGTCAATATAGACACAATGCCACACCAACGGTGTCACGCACCTTCACACCGGGTCCCTACCCCCCGATCCTTGCTATAAACAACCACCCAGATAACCCCCACCCCTTGAGTGCCCTGCCATCTACGTAGTTCCAAAACTTTCAAAACCCACCCCCGTCTGTATCCCACCCTGAAAAGTCAATACCCTCCCACCCTGTTCAAAGGCCCCATGGAATGGACCCACGAAAACATAGTGAAACAAGGGGGTATTTCTCCACAGGTGCCTGGAAACCCTGCACCCTACCCCCTTATTGGAAAGTCATCAACAGACCCTCATACCCATCCCCTTCCACCCCCACCCCTCAAGTCCCTGATTCAACACCCGGTGGTACTGACCCCACCCCACGGCCTCTCAATGGCGCGGCAGTAGGGAACCGGGCGAGCAAGGTGCGAGCGAACGAGGAGCAATAGGAAGAGGGGCAAGAGACAAACCTTCTCGGTTGTGAACAGAAGACAAGTAGACATAACTGGGAGGAATTCACATCCTTCTTTCAACCTGCAGACATTGGGTTCGATACTCAATCGACGAGAGCCAAAAAGGCGTGTGTTAGCTCAGCTGCTGCCTTGCTTGCAACAAAGAGCGAGTAGGGCAATTGCTCGCCTAGCTCGCTGCTTCTCATATAGGGAAGAGATTCCAACGTAATTACCTTCAACGCTATACAACCATGGCGCAATTTAACATGCATCCGTCACAAGCATTCATGGGTCAGCATTACGGCGCATTAGGCGAAGGGTGGGCTATGCATGCGAGAAATCAAGGGACTTCTCGCTCCAAGTATAAATGTGGGATTTGTGGACAGGTGTGCACTTTAACCTTGTCCGTGATTCTTGAGCATTAATGGTGTTGGACTTCAGCCCAAGAAGGGGCACGTTTGCCAAGCTGCTCAAAGTGGTAACCTGTGAGTTTCTCCCTGCGTTGGTGTATGTAGTAGTTCGACATTGTGACCTGTACTATAGGCGCAGTGCAGCTTCGAGCTCGGATGCAGGGAGTGTAAATGCGGACAGGTGTCTGGAATCATTGGCGCATTGTGGTTTAAAAGCATTTGCAGGCGAAAATTGCTGGAGAAACTACAGCAAAGAATGGGAAAGCAAGATAGCGAAACTCATGAGGCAGATTCCAAAAATTTCTCGGATGGGATTGATGATCAAGAGTCCGATGATGCTATGGAAGACAACGATGATGGGATGGGCATGCTTGGTTTGCCCCAGGTGTAGAATCGTATTTTGCGACTGCTCCCATCTACGCTCCAATAGCCTCCCTGCTCTTGATTCTGTTTGTTTGTTCCTGTCATACCTGATCGTTGGTTTGATAGAATCCTCCGTCTGTTTTGGATTGGAACAATGCGCATATGTCAGGGTTAACTGCTGGTGTAATGCCTGCGTCTCCTGCCCGTCCGCCAGTGCCTTTGTGGTCGCCGCAGGCGCTGCCCCCTGATTCTGTTGGGATGATTTGGCAGCCAATGATAACAGCATCGCCAACGGTGCGTCAGATCTGACGCTTCCTTGTTGCCTTGTGATTGATCCTATCCGTTTGCAAAGATTTCACCCGGTGGCAATGCGCCTATGATGTGGGGAGGCAATATGCCTCAGCCTTCTCCCGGTCAAGCTCCATTACACGTGCCGTGAGTTTATTGACCGAGCTATCAATTTTCAATGTACTGACGACTACGTGAAACAGATGGTCAGTCTTACCGCCATCTCCAGGTAATTTTTTGTCTTTCTCTGTTTGTGGTCCTGGACTTAGTATCATTCAGGCATGAAGATTCAGACTCCGAACGGAGGTCAGATGCTCCCTTTGTGGTCCCAGACACCGTCAGCAAGTGCCTCTACTCCGGGGTATGATCCCTTTCACTGGTGATTAAGGCATGTTCTGATAAGTCTTAATTTCAGATGGGGATCACTGGCAACTCCGACCTGGGCATCTACTCCAAACTGGGCTGGGCAGCTATGGCAGGCTACACCTGCTGGTGGGACACACGTCATGTGGGGAGGTAGTGAGCTAGGGCCGTGAAGTATTGATTTGGTGAGCTTGCAAGAGAAGCTGTCACCGTCGTCAGAAATTGAGATAGCCGATGATGACAAGTTGCCGACGGCAGTGTTAGCGGAGAGTCATTATCATCTCAGGAAAATACGCAATTGAAAATATTTCCCAACTTTCCACTTCAAATCACTGATCCAGGTCGCCTCCAGGCGGGTGTGATCACAGAATCCAGCGCAAACGTTTCTTCATGGTATCATCAACAATTCATTGAGGCATTTCCTTGCCTACTCACTCTACAAACTTGTACTCGATGGGGTGTTAGTTTATATCAGTTAGCACAATCCACACACGCTGGCAGACTAAACCGGTGGGAGCTTCCTGCCTTCTCACCGTGACTCAGTGGAATTCAACTTTTCAACAGCTCAGCTTGCTTGCCGCTGGGCTGTCATCAAGCAAGCTGAGCTGTTATCTCCGAGGACACATTCTAGGACGCAACGAAAGCACCTCGAGATTGGCAAAGCTGCTGCAGCTTGTTCTAGTTCAAAATTAGCCAGTCGTCGACCAGGTTTTCTGGACGGAATTCAAATTCCGTACTCCGTGTTGTCGTCGAAGTTGAGACGGCGGCGGCAGGCAGGATGGTGCTCAGTGCTGCAGCTTCCTGGATGATTTTGGCACATCTCCATGAAACATGCTCCGCAGAAATTGGTCGGGGGCAGAGACGTCGACAGCAGCTGCGACGATGGGGACGGGGTCAGGAGTGACCGGGACGGCGGCGGTGTTGCAAGCAACGTCAACTCGGACCAGGAATCAGAAAATGACGCCGGTGAGTGAAATGGCGACGATGGCTCAGGCGAGACTGTTGGGGATGGGAGCGACTGCTGGCTGGAAAACTTCTGCTTCTTCCATGGAGGAGTGTCAGGGTGAATTTCCTCTCTGGTGAAAGCTTCACATCCATTCTTCAAGTGGCGATGAACATTTCCGGCCGCTGTCTTGGCATCGTAGACATACTCAGAGTAGTAGACAGCACGTTTCCAGCCCGAGGTCTTCGGTGGAGGGATGTCAGGGCGCGGGGGTCCTCGGGTGCCCTTCTTTGAAACCATTCCGCATGCTACCATCAAGTCCTTGGCTCGTTGGGTTGGGTGCGTGACATTTGGGTCACTGAATTCCTTGTAGCATTTTTCCAGATCCTTCGCTTCAATTGTATGGCAGCCGAAAACAGAGTTTTCCTCCTCCTTGCTGCTGCGGTGCAGCACAGCAGCGCCTTGCTCCTGCAGCTTTTCCCATTTGTGTTTGATGCGGAGGATCTGGACGAAGATGGTTGCTGAGAAATGTTTGTCCTCAGGGATGAAGAGTTTCCTTTTCATCTGAAGATACTCATCTGTCTCGTTCCACTGGGCAAGGTCGTCAGATGCAACTGAGGTCATACTTAGATGATTGATCAGGGAGCCGGGCACAGCTAAAGTCAGTGAAAGAGGCTGCAGGAGGGCTTGCAGTGAGGAAGTGAGCGAGTTGGAGCGTCTAAACGCTTCGAGAATGTGAGAAGAGAAGAGAAGGGAAGAGCGAGGAGGACAGAGAGCGCGTGGGGCAGCACAGGGGCACGAGGAACAGGCGAGAGTTCCTTGCTCGCAATGCTCGTTCTAGGCGTGCCTGGAACTTAGTGGGGATGAGGATATAACCCTTCGCCTGCCGCGCCGGCGGCCGCGGCCGCGGCCCGGCCCGGCCCGGCCCGGCCCTGGGCTCCGAGTACTGAATACCTAGTCCTTTTGTTGGTCATAGAAAGGTACCATGCTTCATAGGTCTGTGGCCCTAGGAATTTTTGTATGTTCGCTCCCACTTTACGGGTGAAAGATTCTGGAACAGATTTTACTTACCAAACAAAACACAAATTTACCCCTACTTTTAAGAGTGTTTTACACTGTTGAGTCCATGGTGGGTACTCTGTGTTACTCAAAAAAAAGAAAGGGTTGTGGGGTCGATCTACCACTCGGGGAATATGGCGGCGGCCTTGCGCGCCATGGCCTGCCTGCTTCTCGCAAGCATGTCCTTATCAACGCCTTCCCCCTCCTGGTCGCTCTTCCTCTCTTCCTCTCCTCCCTCTCCCACAGCGTTCCCACTAGCATCCTCCTCCTCCTCACCTCCTCTCTATCATCCCTCCTCTGCAACACGGATTGCACCCACGAAACAGGCTGGGTGGAGTACGCCTTGCTTCGTCTCGATCCTGCCTTCTGCTGCTCCATCTCGATCACCTGCATGCTCGAACTACCTCGAAAGGTCCTCTCCTCTCTGTGCCACCAGACGTGCTGAAGTGTCTTCGGTCTGCAGGGCCAGATCGTGCAGTGTCTTTCGAAGCCGTGAAAGGAGGTTAACGTTTGCTGGGGGCCTGTGCGCTTCCGGCACAAGACAGTCCCTGCAGACAGGGCAGATCAGCGATGCAAAGGATCAGAAGCGTGAAAGGTTCGAGCTGGGTACGGATGCGTCGGGGCCCCTGTCCCAACCTCCCCTCGAGTCATCGGAACCCGGGGCAGGTCAATCGAGGAAGGCGCGTCCTGGAGCCGAAAGCAAGGTGCTACGAGTGGACACGATGAACCAGGCAGTTGTGAGGATGCAGTATGCTGTGCGGGGTCTGGTGCCAACAACCGCTGAGGCCATTCAGGTAGCGATCGTATGGCACTTGTGGTTTCTGACAGAATCCTCAGGAGGAGCTCAGGAAAGGAGCGCATGGTCGGTCATATGACGAAGTCTTGTTCTGCAACATAGGAAACCCTCAGTCAGTGGGGCAGAAGCCTCTCTCCTACTACCGGGAGGTGTTGGCCCTCGCCGACTGCCCATGGCTGCTGGAGAAGGAGGAGACTCTGAAGTTGTTCAGCAAAGACGCGATCGATCGAGCGAGGCTCCTGACCTCGTACATGGCGGGAGGGACAGGAGCCTACTCGCACAGTCAGGGGATCCTACAGATCCGACAGGCCGTGGCGGAGTTCATCCAGGCACGCGATGGATACCCGTCGGACCCCAACGATATTTTCCTCACCAACGGAGCGTCCTCGGCAATCCAGGTGGACCTTTGTGCACCCCGCCCTGACCCGTCGTGACGTGCTCGTCGGCATGCAGATGGTGTTGACAGCTCTGATAGCCTCGAGGAAGGATGCAATCCTCATCCCCATCCCCCAGTACCCCATCTACAGCGCGCTGATCTCCCTGCTTCGCGGCCAGCAGATCGGATACCAACTCGACGAAGAGGCGCAGGTAGCTCCTGTTGGGAAAGGAGAGTCCCGGGGCTGAGAGGTTGGGCCAGTGGGGACTGGACATGGATGAGATGAAGAAGCAGCTGGACGACGCAAGGCAGAAGGTAGTTGATCTTAAGCACTGCTGTTGGAAGAATCGAACTTCGTCATGGCAGGGTTTGAACCCGCGCGGTCTCGTTGTCATCAACCCGGGTAGATCTCTCAGTGGAATTGTGTCCCGCTGGTCTGACTGTGCTGTCTGTAGGAAACCCTGTCGGGAACGTGTTGAGCTACGATGATCTCAAGAGTTTGGTGCAGTTCTGCAAGAGAGAAGGCAAGAGTTCTCATGGGATCGAAGTGGCCTTCTGAACTCGATCGGATGTGCCAGGGTTGATGCTGCTAGCCGACGAGGTGTACCAGGAGAATGTCTACGGTAGCAGGTACGTGTCCTCGCATCCCCCTACGACATCTCATGATCGGGAGTGACCGTCCCCGTCTCACTTGCTATGGCAGGCCGTTCATCTCCGTCAAGAAGGTTGCTCCTCCGCCCTATGGCTCTTTGCTCCTCCTCCCCGTGGCTCTTGGTTCCAACGACCTTCTGACGCTCTTCGATCAGGTGGTCAGGGATCTTGGGCCCGACTACGACGACTTCGAGCTCGTCTCCTTCCACTCAACTTCCAAGGTGCGACGAGCATGTCGGAAGCCCAGGTGCTGCCTCTGACTGCTGGCTTCCAGGGGATCACAGGTGAATGCGGACGGCGGGGAGGGTACATGGAGATGTGCGGTGTTGACCCCGACGTTATGGTATGCTCCTGCTCCTGCTCCTGCTCCTGCTCCTGCTCCTGCTCCTGCTCCTGCTCCTGCTCTTCCGTTCTCGTCGTCGTCGTTCCCATTCTTCCTTGCCTGCTGCCTATTTTCGTCTGACTGCAGCTCTTCTCAGGCACATGTCTTGAAGCTTGCCTCCTCCCAGCTCTGCTCAAACCTCAACGGACAAGTAAGTTACGAGACAGCTGAGTAGCAGCTGAATGCTTGCAGATCATGGTCGACCTCTGCCTGCATCCCCCCAAACCTGGCGAGCATTCGTTCGCCTCTTGGAAGGTGGAGCATAATGGCTCCCGCTGGCTGCCATCTGATTCATTTCTGCTGCGCAGGAGGAGCGAGACAAGATCTTTGATGGGCTGAAGAGAAAGAGCAAGATGGTGTATGACGTACGTGCGCGTGGAGGAGGAGGGGAGGAGGAGGGGAGGAGGAGGGGAGGAGGAGGGGAGGAGGAGGGGAGGAGGAGGGGAGGAGGAGGGGAATGGGGTGTGGGGAGAGTGATAGCTCTTCAACAGTCCCTCAACGCCATCGAAGGGGTTTCATGTCAACCTCTTGAGGGAGCAATGTATGCTTTCCCAAAGATTGAGTTGCCTCGGAAGGTAAGAGGAGGAGGAGGAGGAGGAAGTGGCGGTGGTGGTGGTGGTGGTGGCGGCGGCGGCGGTGGAGGAGGTGGAGGAGGGCGAGAATGAGGAGCAGGACGAGGAGGATGAGGAGGATGATGAAGAGCGGTCGTCCCGGAACATGAATTTGTCTTCGACAGGCCATCGAAGCAGCAGAAGAGAAAGGTTACACCCCAGACACTTTTTACGCCCTTTCTCTTCTGGACTATACTGGTATCCTCCTTTGCTTCCTTTTCTTGTCTTTTGCGTTTTTTTCCTCCCGCTCTCTTCAGCTCGCTTCATTCTGCGCCTCCTTTCACTTGTCTTCTTTCCTCCCTCTTCTCCTCTGGATCTCCTTCCTCCCCGTCATTCCCTTCCTCCCTTCCCCTCATCCCTCTCCTCTCCATCCTCCCTCTCTTTCTCACCGTCTCCGCGCTGCTCTCGCTTCCCCTTCTCCTCGTCTGATCGGTCTCTAGGCATCTGTGCTGTTCCAGGGAGTGGGTTCGGGCAGAAGGACGGGACATATCATATCAGGTTGACGTTTCTTCCGGACGAGGACAAGGTAACTAGAACGATTGGAGGAGGAGAAGTAACATTTTTTGATGAAGTTGGAGAAAGCGATGAGCACCTTTGCTGAACATCACAAGCACTTCATGCAGCAATACTCATGAGTGCGAACAGCCTATGACAGTCGACGGGCCTCTGCAGTGGCAAGGATGGTTGGAAGAGTGAGGACAGGGTTGATATCCGATGTTGGAACTATCATGCTCGACTCAAGGGTCAATGAAAGATGTATTGGTTGTCATCCATTTCGAAAAGACATCAAGATTTTTTTCAGCTTGTTCCTGTGAATTGGCTTCTCGCTAATCTTCTCAATCATTTCCTGCATACCGCGTCAGCCGCAGAGGCAATTCGCCTCCCCTCTTCATACCTCGTCAAGGTATTTCAAATCCTCCACAGTCTCAACTCCGAGATCCAAGATCTGTAGTGGACAGATATGTCAACCTCCCCAACTCCACCATTCAACTACCCAGCTGTCGCCACCTCCCTTCCCAGCTGTCTTCATTTCCCCTTTCCCAGCTACTTTCATCTTACAACCGACCCTCACCTTTGCCTCATAGTCTTCCAGCCCATAGTTCTTGAGCACGTCCTTCAACCCCTCGACGCCTAGATGTTCCTGTCCCTTCTCCCCCTTCTCCTCTGCCGCCTGCCCCTTCTCCTCTGCCGCACTCTTTGCCCCCTCTTCCTGCTGGCCCTTGTCGGTAAAATCTTTTCGCTCTTCCTCCTTGGTTGGAGGCGAATGGGGCTCCTGGCGCAGGTAGTATTCAGCTTAGCGTCAGGAGAAGGAGGGGAGGTGGTTTCACCTGCGACGCCTGCGCCTTATCCTCTCCTTCCATATCCTTCTCTCCTCTCCCTTGCTCTCCAGCCTCAGGGTTCAGATGCTTCGCTTTCAAGTACTCATGGAATTTCTTCTCCGCTTCCAACCCCTCCAATTCCTCCTTCCCAACCCGATCCTGCGCTGCCATTGCCTCCCTCATCTTCCTCTCCTCCTCCCGCCGCTGGAACCTCTCCATGATGCCTCTCTGCCTCAACTGCTCGGGGGAAAGCTTCAAACGAGCATTCTGTTCCTCGATCTGCTCGATCTTCTTCTTGGCCGCCTCGATCGCTTGGAGTCTGGCAGCTCGGAACCTCTCCTGCCTCTCCCTCTCGTCATCGCTGACCTCATCCTCCCCATCCTCACTCTTGTACGTCTCCATCGCCTGCCGCAGCTGATCAGCTATCCCGCTGATCACTAGCTCCTTCCTCGTTGCGTTGGGTTTCGAGTAGAGATTCAACAGGTTCCATTCGTCCGTTAGCTCGATCACCCCTACCTCCACGTAGATGCCCTTTGCCTTCTCCAGCAGCTTGTTCGCCTCCTTGAACTTTCGCTCCTCGATCAGTGAATGCACGTCAAGCAGCAGTTCATCAGCTTCAAGCTCCATCGTCCTCTTCCTCCTCGTCTCCTCCTCGTCCTCCAGCCTTTGCTTCTCTTTGTGAAGACGTTTGGCAGCCTCCTGCTTCCTGACCCCCTCCTCCTCCGCAGCTCGCTCGAGCTTCAGCATCTCAGCTCTCGAGAGCTTCTGACTCCTCTTCTTGTTCACGAGGATAGTGGACAGGCAGACATGCGAGCATGTGAACGACTCCCTCAAATCCTGATCATCTCTGCTACAGTCAAACGTAACCTTCTGTTTGTTTCCTCCCTCATCCACGCACTCGCAGAACCCAGACTGCCAGGGATCAATCCCTTCATGGCAAGAGCGATCTTGTCTTGGGTCAGGATCGCCATGGGAGTCGCAGTCCTTGGTAGCCCTCCAGGCAATGCAGAGGTTCTCGGGGTCAGGTTGAATCTCTACAATGGGTTGGTGCGAGTCTGGCGGCTGGCTAGCAACTTCCTCGATGTCCATGATGGACACCTGATGGTTCCTTGCCTTCCGCTTGATCCTCTCGTTCATAATTTCCTGCTGATCCTCTGGGAAAAGCTTCTCTATCACTGGTCCCAGGGATTTCGTTACCGCTCCAAGGCATGACCTTGCATTCCAGCATAGCGCCAAGAGCGCGACGAGGAAGAGTGCGAAGAGGATACAAGAGAAGCATGGATTCCTGCACGAAATGTCTCAGCGAGCATGAAAAATCCGACGGCACGTAAACACTTTGCAACTTCCCAGTCGATTCGCAAAACTCATCAAAGATCTCATGCACATCAAAGGCTCAGAAGCAGACAGATTGAAGAGACGGCAACGGGACAACCTCGTCTCACATAGCCATGACTACCATCTCCCTCACCTTCTTGCCCATAGACGTGCCTCGATCAGCCGCCGCCGCCGCCATTTCGTCGGCCCTCCCTCATCCAGCATGCCCTACGAGACTCAGAACCCTCATCCCCTCTATGACCCACCCGCTGACTCACTGAAGGGGTTCTGCCCTCATCCCCTACAGACCCAGGGTTTGAAACGGTTATATCCGTTGCAAATGAAGTTTTCTGTTACATCATCGTTTTCTGTGAAGAGACGTCGACTGCCCATGGTGGAGGCAGAGGGCGCGGGAGAGGTGAGCCATGGAGGGGGAGGCAGGAGGAGCGATTGCGCGGAACATGCAGGATGATGGGATGGAGAGAGGGAGGGAGAGAGACAGGGCCAGCAAGGAAGGCAGACATGATACCTGTTCTCCCTTGTCGTCAGTTTTGAGAAACTTTCAATGTCCCATTCTTTGTTGATGTAGCTTAGCCGGAACCCGTTTGTAGATCTTTCAGACTTTTGTTTATCTCTGCTGTCTATTGCAATGCTGCACTTAGCCTCTATCGTCTTTCAGATCACATCTCTTGTCTGATGCTTCCTAAACTTGTCTGGCAGGGCATCGTTAGCAGGAGCAAGTCGACGGCAAGCACCAACATGCATCGAGTCATCATGGTTGCTGCCATCGCCTGCGTCCTTGCTCTGGGAATGTTTGCCATGAACTCCGGTGCAAGAGATCCTGTCGAGCTGGACCGGTAATGCCGTTTTCCATTAACTTTTCCACTGACCCTCTGCAGTGAATCTCGAGAGATCGAAAGATTGATCAAGGAGAAAGCGCAGCTCCAGGCCCAGCTGCACCCCTCGTCCCATCCTCAGGTCCATCACGCAGCCAGCAAGTCAGGCAAGAAGGTCGTCGCTACCGCTGCTGTAAAGGTGGAGAAGAAGCCAAGGATTGACACCCTGAGGCGAGAGAAAGAGGTAGAGAAGAGAGAAGTTTGCGCTTTCTGCAGGCTGACAACTGGCCAGGCTCTTGAGAAGCAGCTCAACATGTTCAAAGTGCAAGCGGCCAAGGCGAAGGATCCCATCATCGAGGGTGTACTCGGAGAGATGAATGTGAGCGAAGCCTTAACCTCATGTCAGCTCTTGTGGCTCCAATCTAACTCTTTTGTGCTTCTCGTAGGCGAAGCGAGACGGCACTGGTCTGCTCGGCAGGCTGAAAGAGAGCAAATCCAACGTGAGAGAGTCGGAGAACAGCCGAGAGGTCGAGTCTGATGCTCGCCATCCAGGTCCTCGGCAGCCTTGCTGCCACCATGAGCCCAGCTGACCAGAACAAGATGCTCTTGCATGAGGCCGAGGCCATGGTTGGCTCCCTCCCCTCCTCCTCCGCTGTTCCTTCCTGTGACGTCTGTCTGTGTGCGTACAGGGAGACGTCTCCCCGAAGGAAGCCCTTGCTCAGCGCATCATCTCTCTTGGTTCGCAGTACATGCACGAGGTCTGTGCGCCGTCAGCCTCCGCCGCGTCTCGTTGACAACCTTGCAGGACATGGTCCAGCGTCCCGCACCGCTCAAGAGGCTTGTGAGGAGGAGCCACCTCAGGCCCCAGAGCGATGGAGCAGTTGAGATCCACAAGGTGAAACCTGACGAGCCAGCAGCACGTTGCTCCTGCTCCTTTAGGCTGATCCTCTCCCGCAGCAACATAGCCGTCACAGGATCGCTCGCCTGCATGCTCAGCTGAACCAGAAGCCTGTGGTGAGCTTCTTGCTGTCAGTTTCTTGCTCCATGCTGAGACCAACACACAGGAGGAGGGGAAGTCGCTGGACAACACGGTTGCTAGTGCCAGATCTCGTGTACATCTCCTTCGCAAGGTTTCGATACTCCCCTCGTACGAGGTTGATTCATCTCATCTTGCTACAGGAGTTGCAGGAGGCTGAACGGGTAGAGAAACTTGAAGCCCAACTCGCTGAGGCCAAGCAGAGCTTGTCTGTGATGATGACGATTCGAATCCCGTCTCATGGTACAACAGGTCCAAGACACAGAGCGTCGAGAAGAAGATGAATAGCCAGGTAGGAGGCTGAAAAATCCAAGAGAGAGGCATAGAGAGTAAAAGATATGAATGGAAGGAGAGGGAGGAAGGGAGTAAAGGAGGGAGTACCGTGCTGACATGAGTGATTCAGAAACTCGTTGCAAGAAGCACGGGTAGTCGAGCCGCTTCTAGGTTTGACGATACCAAGGAGGTGCTTTGACAACCTTGTGGTACTTGGTGGGTCTTTGACATCCTGCAAAGACGATGAAGGAGTTCGTTGGAAAGGCATCCTCCAAAGAAGACAATAATGACGAGGTAATGGATCATAGGCCATGCTATATCCATCCCCTTTCTTTCTCGTCTCGTCTCGTCTCCTCTCCTCTAATCTGCTCTGCCCTCTCCACTCCCCCTCTCTCCTCTCCTCTCTTCTCCTCTCCTCTCCCCTCCTCCTCTTCTATTTCTCGCTCATTTCTCTTTCAGCCCGTGGAGAGCACAGACGAGAATCGCTTCCGTCGTCTCGCGCATGGCGCTGGGGTACTAGTGCAGGATCTCGTCCTTCCGCCTCTCATCCTTCCCTCCAGTACGTCCATGGAGGTATCGTGGTTGGCACTGCCGAAAACTCCGGCCCCGACAGGTCTGCTGAGCATGTTTCCCCTCCCTGACTGTGCATGTCTGCTCTTCTTTCCTCTCCCTCCTTCTCCTGCCAACTGTGCTCATGCTTGTTAACAGATACGGGCAGTCTGGCATCGGGCCAGCTCTGATTAGGAACAAGCTCGGTGAGTAGACGAGGGAGAAGGGAGGAGGAGGAGGAGGAGGAGGAGGAGGAGGAGGAGGGGGAGGAGGGAGAAGGAGAAGGCAGGTGAGGGATGAGGAGGAGGGAGAAGGAGAAGGGAAGAGAAGGAAGGGAGTTGGGCATGTGTGACACAGAAGCAGGTGACAACATCATCGACACGGGTATGTTTGGAGCTGCCGGAACCAGAGACGGAGATGTGAGACTCGCGTCACTCCTGGTCTCCTCCACTCAACGTGTTGGTCGGCAGGTGTTGGTTCCTACCAAGCTATCTGGGGCAAGACGTCGAGACAGGTGTGGAGGTGGATGGAGGAGCGCAGGGCGGGATGAAGGCAGGGATGGAAGGACACATACAACAGCTTCAGAGGAGTGGGGAAGTGGAGGAAGAGGAGAACGAAAGAGAGGAGTTTTTGCAGGACAAGGCCGGGGAAGGTGGGAGGAGGGGGGGCAGCAAAGAAGGAATTTTGATTGCTTGGTAACGACTGCTCAGCTTCCAGCAATCTCATCCCACGCCGGAGAAAGTTGGGAGAATCCCCAATGACGTCAACGACGTGAGTCAAGTCCCTGCGCTTCAACGGTCTTGACCCGATGAGCAGGAGCTGGTTCGGGGTTCTACGCTTCACTACTTCGGAGGAAGAGGGGGACTGGGCATCTCTGACAGCGAGGTTCGTGCTCCTGCTCCTGCTCCTGCTCCTGCTCCTGCTCCTGCTCCTGCTCCTGCTCCTGCTCTTGCTCCTGCTCCTGCTTCCTTCTCGTCTTTCTCTCCTCATTGTTGCTGATTACCAGGTCCCGGCCGATAACATCGAAGGAGGGATGTACACAGACAGCGCAAGGACAGAGGAGTTGACGAATCTCTCGTAAAATACAGATCTCTCACCAACTGTTTCTTCGAATTCTCCTCATTCTCGCTTCTGCCTCCCGTCTCCTCCTTCCCGAATGCTCCGTTCACATCCTCGTCTTGGCTCCCTTCCTCCACGTCCCCTTACTTGGCCTGCTCCCGCGCTTCTTGCTCTCTGAGGCTCCGGTACCTCCTGCAACTCAAGATCATCCATGAAGGAAACAAGTGAAGAAGGAGGAGCAGGAAAGGGGCAGGAGAGCGAGGGGAAGGGGGAGGACGGAACGGATCGGGCGCGACAGCAGGAGCAAGTCACCGTACCTGTCATCCTTGATCCGTTTCGCCAGCAGCCCAAGGGGGAACAGGAACCTGAGCCACTTCCTGTACCCGTCCAGCAGCGGCCGAGCTCCGTCCAACAGGTTATAGTCAGGCTGGAACGCGCTCGCGAGCCCCTCGAGGCAGAGGATATTGAGGACGAGTGTCACGTAGTTGACGTCCACACGGACTTTGTGGACCCTGAGGGTCTGCAGGATGAGGCGGAGGACATTGCCGATGTGTACGCCATGGCCGTACCCGCGGCAGTGCTCGGCGAAGAGCCTCACCATGTCCTGGCGGAAGAGCTCGACAAGCTCGGGAGAGGTGCACGTCTGGTTGCACGAGAAGCGGAGGATGAAGTCTGCGGCCATGGACCCGTCGCCCTGGTAAGAAAGCTCAGCCACACCGTCCCCGTCCTCGTCCCCGTCCTCGTCCCCGTCCTCGTCCCCGTCCTCATCCCCGCCCTTGTCCACAACCATCCCCCCCCTCCCTCGCTCCCTCGCTCCCTCGCTCCCTCGCTCCCTCGCTCCCTCGCTCCCGCCTTACCTTGCCAATCGCCTTGAGCAGTCCGATGAAGTTGTCTTGCTCGTCAGCCTTGAGCTGGGCAACCATCCCAGCATCGAGGAGAATGATCTTCGGGTTGTGGTGCAGCGAGTTGTTGTGCTGCAGGAGTATATTGCCCGGATGCAGATCTGCATGCATCAAGTTGTCCTTGAGAAGCATCTGCAGGTACATGTCTTCTCCCTTGGCTACGATGAAGTGCCCTGTCGACGATAGCGTTTCCTCCATCTCCTCCTCGACGTGAAAGCAGCGCAGGCAAGAATGGAGGAGGCTCGATAGCGAACCAAGAGGCCACCATGACCTGCTCTTCCTCGCCTTGGCGCGGTTGATGGGCAGCACCATGTGTGTAGCAAGTGACCCTTCCTCGAACGTCTCTACCAACACGCTCTCGCTGCAGAAGACAGCCTTGGGGAAGCCGCATATTTGCCTCTGGGCCCGGAAGTTGTCGTTGAAGATGTCGAGGTGGTTGGCCTCAACGTCCAGCCGCGTCTGAGAGGCGATGGTGTGAGAGAACTGCTCCATCGAAGCCTCGAGGTTCAGCCAGTGCAGCCCGGGGATGCTGTCGACGAACGAGCCGAACGCGCGCATGATACGGAAGTCCGAGGCGATCTGCTCCTTCACGTTGGGGTGCCGAACCTTCACCGCCAGCTTCTGCCCGTTATGGGTGGCAAAGTGAACTTGAGCGATGCTGCCGGACGCGAAGGCCTCGCGGTCGAAGCGCTCGAAGTATCTCTCGATCGAGCAGCCAAGGGCTCTCTCAACCTCCTGCTTGGTGTGCTTCCAGCTGTGCTTGGGAGCGTTGCTGTGAAGGTGCGAGAGAACGTCGCAGAGTTTGAGGGGGAAGATGTCCGGCCTCACAGACGCCCACTGGCCCCACTTGATGAACGCCGCTCCCGAGTGCCCCAGCGACATGGTCAGGAACTTGTACCAGACATGGTCGCGAAAGCTGGGGACGAGGAGGGCGAGGGGGCTCGTGACAAAGGGGAGGAAGTAGATGAAAGAAAGATAGATGGCTCTCAGAAGGAGCTTGACTCGGCTCTGCTCGGCTACGACGATCCCATCCTCCCTGCCATGTGACGACACGACCACTCTCGAACGCTTCCTCATAGTAGGATTGAAACTCAGCAGGGGCGCAACGGCCTGGGAGCTATTGAGAGTACCCTGCCCTACAGTCTGCGGCCCACGGGAGGTGAAGGGAATCTGAATGCCTGCTGCAAGGTGAAGGCCAAGAGAGAGGAGGATGGTCGTGATAGCAAGACGATTATTTGCAAGAATACCGCCCGAAGGCAACATTTTGCAGCTGATTGCTGTCTCAGAGACCCAAGAACAAAGAAAACGTGCAGAGAAACGCGGGATAAAGGTGATCCCTTGCAGTTTCCCAGCCTCACAAAGAGGACCGACAGTGCTGGAACATTACCAACTAAGTTTTCAACATCAACTCCCACGGCCCTGCCTGGCGACGCCTAGCGGCTGTTTGGCTTGTCGAGTCAGATTCCTTCCATGCCTCAGTTGCTGGGAAGACCAGTGCTGACCTGAACGCCAAAGGCTTCCTCCTGCTCCGTGACCTGACGACCCCTGAAGCGCCTTGGTTCTCCCTTCCTTGACTTCTTCCTCTATCGTCTGCTCCTTGGTCTGCTCCTGCTCCTTACAAACGCAGGTTACCTTCTTCTCCTCTGTTCTTCTCTCCTCGCTCCACCCGCTTCTTCTCGCTCCACCTGCTTCTCCTCGCTCCTCCTGACTCCTGTTCCTCTCTTGCTGTGCCTGCAGATTGCGGCCTCACTGGCATTAGATCCTGCTCCAAGACCCCTGTCTCCTCCTTTACTCACCCGTTATATTCCCTTCTTTCAGACCGGTATAAATGGGGGGTCATGTCAGCACGAAACAGTGGATGATGGCAGACCGGTTTCCCGCCAAGATGCCATGCAGAATCGAAGGTCGGCGGTAGGCGGGAAGCGCTGGACAGTGGAGGGCCCCAGCGTGCGGCATGGCAGGATGATGGCTCTGTGCTGATCGCCTCCCAGTGGTGCTAGTCTCGTCGGGATCGCCTGGCATGGCAGATGCAGCGCCCTTGCCCGAGGAGCTGGAGGACGGGGAGGAGCTCAACGCAACGGAGGTTTACTCTGATTACGAGTGCACGTCCTTGAAGCAACATGCTTCGCTGCTGGTCAAGCACCCTGGGCATGTCTCAGAACCTGCGAGTCTTGCGCTCGTGCGCCTGCCTCCTCCTCAGTTCCCCTTGTTCGACTCGGTGCCGATCGAAGTCTTCGCGGAGGGAAAACTTTCGGATCTTCAGACCGAGGGCGTTCTGTATGCATGTAAGGAGCTCCTTGCGCTATCTTCCTTTCAGTAACACCCTTAAAGGCCAGAGGCATCAGATGATACTTCCCAACGGCTGCCGTGCTGGTTTCTTCCTGGGGGATGGGGCAGGTGTGGGGAAGGGGCGACAGGTGTTTCGTGTGGAGTGCTCTCCGTTGGACTTATTGCGTGCCTTGCAGATCTCTGGAATCATTTTCGACTCCCTGGCAAGAGGACGGCGGAAGCATGTGTGGCTGTCCACGTCGAGCGATCTGAAGCTCGATGCTGAACGAGACATGAACGCTCTTGGATGCTTCGTGAAGGTGATCGATGGTTGCCAGCAGCTGGACGACAACACGAAGGCCCTTGGGCTCAGCAGCGACTTCAAAGAGGGAGTGCTCTTCTCGACCTACAGCACTCTCATCGGGGGAGCCAAGCCCGGTAGGCCCTCCCGGCTGGAGCAGATAGTGAAATGGTGCGGGGGGGAAACCTTCGACGGCGTCCTTGTGTTCGACGAGTGCCACAGAGCGAAGAACTTTTTCATTGGCGAGAACTCTGATGCATCAACAAAGACTTCCAAGTGCGTCATTGAGATACAGAAGAGGCTGCCGCTAGCTAGGGTCGTCTACTCCAGCGCTACTGGGGTTACTGAACTCGGAAACCTCGCGTATTGTGAGAGACTTGGTCTTTGGGGTGAAGCATGCACTTTCGCCAACTTCGAGCAATTCCTATCGACAGTTTCAAGAAGAGGAGTTTTCTTCCTTGAGATGCTGGCAATGGAACTGAAGAGGATCGGGGCATACGTCAGCAGGGGGCTTTCATTCCAGAATTCAGAGTTCCACACCGTCGAACTGAAATTGAGCGATCAACAAAGGCATGTCTATGATGAAGCTGCATCTCTATGGTTGGATGTGAGAATAGCGTTACAAGAGGCTATTCAGAAGACGAATGCTCCTGGGAGAATTTTGTCAAACTACTGGTCAGCGCATCAAAGATTTTTTCGACAGCTGATCCTTGCTATGAAAGTTGATTACATTGCTGCAGAAGCCAAGAAGTAAGATTGCTCTTTTCTTTCTGTTCAATCGTTTAATTTCCTGCTAGGGCAGTTGAAGAAGGGCATGCGGTTGTCATCGGTTTGCAGCAGACTGGAGAGGCGGCTCTGTCTAGGAAAATTTCGCAGAAGAAGAGTGTACATCACTTCAACAGCCTCTACTCTAGCGTTCGAGACACCCTGATATCATTCTTAGAGACTCACTTCCCCGTCATTGTGCATGATGCTTCAACAGACGCCCTGAATGATTCTAAGCAGCTTGATACCAGCGTTGTTGACATCACAGATGAAATTTACATGAACAACGTGGAGGTGTCAAAGAACAAACAGTCAGCTGGACAAACTGTGGAATCATGTCTCAAGAATAGAGATGACCTGATTCGAAGAACAGAAGAATGCGAACTTCCAAGTTCTGCTCTCGACTTGTTGATTGATCAGCTGGGTGGGCCGGACCGTGTTGCAGAAATGACGGGAAGGACATGGAGGATTGTCAGGGAGAAAGGAAACACTTTCCGTGTGGAGCAGCGAGGTAAAGGGGAAGCGGAAATTGAGACTATCAACGTGAAAGAATGCCAGAAGTTTCAAGCAGGGAAGAAGTTGATAGGTCTCGACCAACATCTGCTTCAATTGCGAGCGGTCCTGATTGCTTGATGCAGGAATCATCTCTGACGCTGCGTCAGTGGGAATAAGTTTACATGCCCTCAAGGATGGGGGCAACCAGAGGAGGAGAGTACATTTCACGCTAGAGGTGACTGACATGGGAGGATCTTGTAGCTATCGTGACTGCCTCTGACCTCCAGTTGCCATGGAGCGCCGACAAGGCTGTCCAACAACTCGGCCGATCCCATCGAAGCAATCAAGTGAGTGCTCCGATATACAGACTGGTCGTGACAGGTACACACATTGACAATGAAGGAAAGCTTCACCTCACCTACTTGTAGACATTGGTGGAGAAAGGAGATTCGCATCGGCGGTGGCGAGGCGTTTGGAGAGTTTGGGGGCACTGACGAGGGGAGATCGTCGAGCAGCCGTCGGGCAAGATCTGCAGGAATTCAATTTGCAAACGGTAATAGCGGCCCTGGCAGTAAATTTTCACCCTCACGATCTCATTTAGGTTTATGGGAATTCCAGCTTGAAAAAACTGATGGAATCAATTCAAAATTCTACACTGTTGGTCCAAAATGTCAATGTGCGTGATCTCTTCGAGATCACAGGAGACACAAGTGAAGAAGACCTCCTTGAAAACTTCAGGCTCGGCTTTGAGTATCTCGCAATGAGTGGAGCTCGTTCAGCGTCTGAACAAGGAAATGTGAAGAAATTCTTGGGAAGGTTGCTGGCTGCTCCAGTTACAATACAGAATTGCCTCTTTCAGTACTTCTTTTGTCTGCTTCAACACGAGATATGCATGGCAAAGCGAGAGGGCCGCTACAGTGATGCAATCTCAGATCTTTTCCACGAAGACAGTGTCCAAATTGATGTTTTGTCTTCTGAGGAAGTTTATTCAGACCCAACGACCTCTGCGAAAACTTCTGTTCATAACCTAAGAATTGACAGAGGCATGAGCTGGGATTCTGCCATCAAGAAGCTAAGAATGGAAAGCAAGGGGAGCAAGAATGATGGATTCTATGAAACTCGGCACAAAATTCCTGGGAGAAACGTGTATGGCATCATCCTTGCTATTTGCAAAGATGATGCTTCTTTCATTATATCACGACCCAACACTGGGCTCAGCAAGCAAGAGATCAGCCTGAGTGAGCTGCATGAGAAGTACGTACAGCAGGATTCGAGCGAAGCAGAGAGGTCATGGAAAACACTCTTTGTCCAAAGCGAGTCATGGGACGGCAACGGTTCGCGAATCCTCAACTTCAATCTTGTGAGCGGAACATTGATTTCCATCTGGAATGAGATACAAGAGGTTGTCACACGACACTCTCGAAGCTCTGACAGCAAGCTCTCTGTACGTGATGCTCGTATGAAGGTCGTCAGGATTGCTATCGATGGCCGACATCTGGTTGGCCTCCGCCTCCCATGCTCTGTTGTGGCTGACATCAAAGAGGCTCTGAGGAGCAGAATGCTCTTGCGCTCAGGACAGGCTGTGAAAATTCTTCCACCGGATCTTGGTGCGCAAGGGATCTTGGCTCTAAAGCTTCAACCCAACACCAATTTCCTCCTCCCGATCTTGGTAGGAGATTCCCATATAAGAGCGCCTGTCAGGTACGACACCACCAGCGGCTCTATCAAGACGATGGTGCCAATACCTGATGGCAAACAAATCGAAGTCTCTCTCTCGATCGCCCAGTGCACCTCAAGGATCCCGGTGGTTGTCCCATACTGCTCCGATGACTCCAAGTCCAACTTCGAGACGAGAGTGCAAGTGGAAGAGGTCTGCCCAGTGATGGTTTCGGAACGAGATCGAGCCACCCGAAAGCCTGCGAGCATCGCAAGTTTCTTCAAGAAGAGCGATCACAGCGTCAAGAAAGGCCGAGAGGAGGAGAAGTCAAGGCTATCAGGGACAACCTCTGCTTGCTCTGAGAAGGCGGGTGAAGCAGAGCGGCCGGTTGCTAATGAAACAACAAAGGCGAAGAGAGGGATTCAGAATTACTTTCAGAGGAACAATATGACACCGAAGAAGCCTCGCATGATCACGAGCGATCCGGAAGACTTGAAGTCTGAGGTTGAAGTTGACAACTGTAGTGCAGGTAAAGACACTCGGCCAAGCTGAGTGCAGACGTCCTGATCTCTTGACAGGGCTACAGCCAACTGCGATCAACAAACATGTGGACGATGTAGTGGACCTGACTCTGAGCGACAGAGAGTAAGCAACACCTGGCTGCTGACATCAGTGAACACTTGTTGGTTCCTTACATCTGAAGATTTATTCTTAAAAAGACGTACATTACCGACGGGTGCTGAAGAAAATCATGATGAACATGACCATGCTGACCGCAGCAAAGGTGCCAAGCGCGATCTGTGGAACAGGTGAGCTGGAGCAAGCGGTAAAAGAGACAGGATCATCACCATGGGACGGATAGTGAAGAGCCCGAAGCCGAAGGGAGAGAACGAGAAGGGGGAGAAGACCGGCATGCCGAAGGGAGAGAAGCCGAACCCTCCGAATGGCGAGAAACCACCAAAAGGGGAGAACAAGCCTCCGAAGGGGGAGGGCTGAGCCACGATCACGGTCGTGTGAGTCTGTGCAGACAGTCAGTCAGACATCGTTGAGCGTTGTTAGACCGTTGAGAGATCAAGGTGTACACGCGGCGGGGGGGGGGAGGCGAGAGTGCGTCTCACCGAGTGTGCAGCAGTGGCCCCCATTGCAGTTCCAGGAGCAGCAGCACCGGCAACACCAGCGGCACCAGGAGTGGCATCAGCACGGCGAGAGAGCTCGGGAGAGCTCTTGCGGAAACTTCCTCCGCCCACTCGGCCTCCACTCTTCGACTTCTTTTGGGTGAGAGCCTCAGCATCCATGGGGGCGCCCAGCATGAGCGCGAACAGGAGGAAGGAGCTGACAAAGAGAGACTTGAACCTGCGAGCCAGTTCAACATGGCGAGGGAGCGACCGCAACAACTTACTTGCTCATGAAGCCAAGTACGGGCGAAACGATGTTGCTGGACTCAGAACGAGACAAACTCATCGCAGGAGCTGCTCTCACGTTCGGGGACATGGCAAGGCTCGCCTTCCTCTGCAGTTTCTGGGACGCTGAGATTCGTGCAAGCATCGGTTGTTGAGCAAGAGGCAGGCTGGTGGGGACGAAACCATGACAGACGTTGACGATGACGAGGACAGCGGCGATTGCAGAAAACGAACCCATTTTCGAGTCTGAACAGAGCAGAGCAGAGCAGAGCAGAGCACCTATTTGATCTGTTCACAAGAGAGTCAATAACAGGATACAAAACATTGAAATAAGAAGATGCGGTAGCAAGTAGCAAACATCTGAATCTTTACTCTGTTTCCTCCGCTCTCTCTCATGCTAAAAATTTGTTCGTCTACCCAGATCCCGCGAACAACCCAGGCTGAGCCATTCGCTGAAACATGCTCTTGTTTGCTGTCTTGCTGCCATCCTTCGCTGTGCATTCCTGGCCCTCTCCTCTGCCCTTGCTCGCTCCCTCGTCCCTCCCCCCACCCACTTGCTCCTACCCCGAGACCCGAGAATGCCATCGACCTTCAGGGAATACAGTGGGGGGTGGGGGAATGTGAGATACATGTTGGAAGGGTGGGGGTACAAATTGTGTTTGCAAATGATGGTCTTTTCCCCATCATTACAGGATCTTTGAAGGGGTAGTCTTTTGATTGCCTTGCATTGATAGGGTAGGTGGTGCTGAAGAAATGTTCTTTGGGATAGGTGGGGTACTATGGCGGATCCCCTACTACAATTTTTTTACAGAACATGATTTCGAAAACTTTTTTTAAATATATTAGTGTTTTAACTTTATTAAGATTTGGGACTTATTGAGCGAAAAGACTCTTTTTCAGTGCTGTTGATCTTCCTGGCCCAAAGCGCAGAGCATCACGTGATCTGCTGTGATGCGACGCTTGAGCTGAAAACACTTTTAAAAAGTCATCATGGTCCAAAATGAGTATTTTCAAGTAAGAAATCGTTTCTTTA